CTTCTCGTGTGTGAAGTGGGACAACTGGCATAACAGCGTCCTCCACCGACGGTGAGGCCCGGCACGAGTGCCCAAGCAGCCCCTCCGAAGGCAAAGAAATCGCAGTATTGTGGGGGTCATTACAGACAGGCGCAGCAGTAGAGGCAACAGACGATCGATGCAAGACAGGACACGATCCTTGTAAATGTTTCTTAAGTGCTTCAACACGCGTAAAAACACGCCTGCAGTGCCGACACTCAGGCATGCCATCCACGGCATTTTGAACATAAGCAGCAGCCGTGGGTCGTTCCGCCCGCGCCATTGTAGCTTCAGGATGGGACCGCTTCATGTGGCTGTGTAGATGACGTCTTTCAGTGAAGTATTGGCCACAGATGTCACAAGCAACCTCGGCACTTTTCTTAACCCTTACAAGGCCATGCTGTTCGCCACAGCGGTCTTGATCCCATTCAAGCAGCACCCGCAGGACATCACGGAAAAGCAGACGAGCAGTGTCGTCTGTGCAGCGCTTGATTCGCCCTTGCAGGACTCGTTTGGCCGCTACAGCAATAGTAGGAATTTTCAGCCTAGCATACAGAGTGGTATTCCTCTCCCTAGTCAAGTGAACAGGACTACGCGCAATGGCCCGAACAAACCTCGCATCCGAGGATTCAAGTAACCGCATCACTTCCACAGGGAACCCTACAGCATGCTGGCCAAACAGCAAGGAGCTGCGTGTACACGCCAAGTGAAGACGCAGGCGAGTGTGCATTGAAAGGCCGGACGAGTGCAAGACTCGAATCAGACGTTGGCGCACCGCCCTCGCAGCTTTGAGGCGATGGTGACAGGTCTGCAGTTCAAACCGTTGGTACGAAATTTTGACCCCAAGATACACAAAAGAATCAGAACGAGGGATGGCAATGGGGAAGCTCGGTGTGCCAACACGCAGGACTGTGACGTCTTTGACTCTGGCCAAATGTTGTCGTAACCAGCGCTTTGCAACCGAACCCTGCAACCTAGCTATAATTCCTGACTTCTGCTGGTTGACCTGCATTCCATTCTCAGACAGCACCTGAAAAATCACTTGGACATTGGAACACATGCCGGCTAGGTCCGACTCCCTCTTAATGGTCCATCCAAAGAAGTTATCGTCAGCAAAGGCCGTCTGATGATCCTGACACCAGCCAACATGAATGCGCTGATCTATGAGATCGCTAAGCCAGCACGTGTAGATACTGAACAAAAGCGGAGAAAGGGCGCACCCTTGGCGCACACCAGTCAACAGCGGGAAAGTGCCAGTGTAAGGTCCGTGCCTAACACTATACACACACCGTTCATGAACTTCAAGGATGAGTGCTATCAAAGACTCACTAAGACCAGAGTGACGAAGCGCAGTTTCCAACGACCATCGTGGAATCTGGTCAAAAGCCCGACTAAGATCGATGCTAAGCATAACCCCTCCTACGCAGTTCCCAGACCTGGCGCCGGCGCGCTTACTGTGCACCGTAACAAGCGACTGCTGAAGGAGCGTGCGTATGTCACTGCAGTGGCGCACAGCCCTGGCTATGGCTTCATCCAGGGAGCGCCGCGGGCAGTAAGCGAACTGGGGATGCAGTTCCAGCCAGGGTTGGACTATCTCAAGGACCCTAGTTTTAAGGGAGTGGGCGAGAACTTTGCTAGCCGGATCCTGCAAACCAAGAGGGCGCAAATCCCAGGGAAGCCTAGAAACCTTATGGGGCTTAGGGAGAAGGGAGAGGGCACAATGTGTCATGTTACTGGGCAATGGCCGGCCATCCCGTCGCGTCTGCTCATAGACACCAAGGAAGAACTGTGCAAACTCCGTGGGTTGCAGCTGCCATATTTCGGCAACAGGACTACCAACAGGAACAGCCTTCTTAGGTTTAAGTGCTTTGATGGCATCCACGATTTCTGCACAGTGCAACTCAAGCTTCTCAGCACATGCAGGCGGCACATAATCCCGCTGCCTCTGGAAAGCCTTCGAGAAATACCGATGAATGGCCTCAAATTGTTGATGTGGGCTTAGGAGGTGTCCTTCGGGGGTCCTAACGCGAACCGGGTCACGTCGGGTCTTAGGGGCTATAACACGAATAATGCGATAAACCTCACTAAGGTCATTGCGTCCAGCAGCTTCCGAGGCAGCCTGAATTTGTTGCGTGAGCCACGCCCTACGCGCAGAACGGCTCTGCTTCCGCAGCTGCTGACTACTTTTGACGAAAGTGGCATATGCCCGCCAAGCACGAAAGACCGAACTAAAACCCGCACCCCTAGGCCTAGCCTTCAGGTTCCTATACGCTCTCCACATGGTCCGAACATCACAGATCACAGCAGGCTGCTGTCCAGGTCTCAGATTCGCGCGTCGAACCGGTGGGAAAAGTTGCTTACATATGCCTACAATGCCCTTATTAAGAACCTCAAATCCCTCAGCAGCTGTGGTGTTTTGGACGGCTTCCAAAACTCTGCGCTGCAACTCAGGAAGCGCCGGCCCCTTCAAGCGCAGACACTCCTGAAGACACGGCTTGGAATATCCGTATGCATGCTGAGGCGGCCTACGCGAACTTCGCAACTGCTGTAAGCGCCACCCGGCAACCCATGGAACCGAAGCCACTACTGGCCGATGTCGTGGCCCATGCCTCCAGGGAGCCAGGTTGAGCTCAACAGAGCGCGCAGTGCGCGCTCGAACATCTGCAGCCTCCTTCCGTACGGCCACATAGTCTATTTGGGTCCTAGTAGGGTCGTTGAGGAAAGTGGCAGTACGCTCGGCTGAAACTCTGCTCCAAGTGTTCAACACGACAAGCCTATGCGTCTGCAGCAGTTGTAGCAGCTCCGCATCCGGCTCTCTCCGACTCGGAAGTACACCCCTACCTACATGTCCTGACAGATGCTCCAAAGGCCCATTGAAATCGCCAGCCAGAATCAGTAGGTTCCTTTGCGGAATGCCCCCCAGTAAACGTCCCAGTGCAAGCCATACCGCCTCTCGCTTACTCTCCAGATGTGCGCGATTTGCTTCTTGCCATGCGTGCTGATAGACTCCTATCACATCCAAAGTGGCATGTGAAGACTCACACTTGACATGCAAAATGCGTCCAGGAAGCCACGAGCAGAAAGTGATACTGGCAGCTGGAGCAACTCTATGTGACACCAGGACAGCTACACCAGAGTAGCGACAGTCAGGATCGGCAGTATTAACAAAGGACCAGCCAGGAATCTGCCATGTGGCGTCGCACTTGCCCAGTCCCCAATGCGTCTCTTGCAGAACGACAATATCAGAAGAGCACCGATGTTGCAGCCAGTCACAAAGAACATCGTAGAGTTCAGCCGTCATGCTACTACAATTGTACGTCAGCACCTCGAGGCGTGAAGAACTCCTACCCGAGCCGTCTAAGTGCAAGCGAGGAGCAGGAACATGTGAGACCACAGGTGCCGCTGGATTCAAAGTTCGCACATTCAAGTCCCTTGCCGACATAGTGCGTCCTCTATATGTTGTGTATCCAAAGAGTTCTGCGCGTCTCCGCGCGCGCCGAAAAGCGCGCTTTCTGATCCTTGAAAAAGAGGTCACTGGAGTAGTTGTATAATCTCCAGCAGGCTTCGCTTCATTCGAAGCTCCCGAGCAGTTGGTGGAATGCTGCTCTACCCTCGGGTCTACCTCCATAGCCATGTGATCCTCATTCTGCTCTAGAAATGGAGGCGGCGGGATTTGGGACCCGCCCGACTGGCATGTCATCGCCAAAATCTCAAGGAGGCAGCAAAGAACCAGGTAGCTCCCCACAAGCACAGAAGTGAACGCAACCATGCCGAGTGAGACCTGCCTATACTTCACCTCACGCTCCAGCCGAGACCCTTAGTAGTAGTAGTAGTAGTAGTAGTAGTAGTAGTAGTAGTAGTAGTAGTAGTAGTAGTAGTAATAGTAATAGTAGTAGTAGTAGTAGTAGTAGTAGAAGCAGTAGTAGTAGTAGTAGTAGTAGTAGTAGTAGTAGTAGAAGTTATAATGATAATGTCTTCCGTGCTACCAATGTCCTTCCTTCCTTCCTTCCTTCCTTGCCTTCCTTCCTCCCCCTTCCCTCCTTCCTTCCTTTCTTCCTTCCTCCTTCTCTCTCCCTGCCTTCCTTCCTTCCCTCCTTACTTCCTACGGTCCTTTCTTCCGTACTCCCTTCTTCTCTTCTATAGAAAAAGGGAAAAAAGTTGTTTGTTGATAGTAAAATCTTTTATTGGTATTTTTTAGTGTGCAAAGTTTTTTTTTGATTGGCATCCCAAAGACCATCAATCCAGTATGTGCCCAGGTGAGATTCTCACCACCCTAGACCCTTTTCAAACAAAAGGCAAACCCCAAAACCCTAGACCCTGACGGCAAGAAGCTCACGTGCAACCACTGAAACCCAATAATAAAGCCCTACTAGTGGAACAGTAGCGCAGTTGAAGCCCCAAAGAGCCCATACAACCCTACACCCTGCAAAACCCACCTTGGCCCATACTGACACAGGACCCTTCCAAAATCCTACTGTCACCCTAATCCGCTCATTCGAAACCCTAGGTAAGAACTCCAAAAGTGCAGACCGCAGCAAAATCCCTACATGCAACTCTGTCACCTCCCAAAAAAGGAGCTGTATCGACCTACGTATCTCTCTAACTTATCTGTCTAACTTTCTACGGATCCATCTATCTATATGCATGTATCTATATCTGTATACCTATGTATGTACATATTCATATTATCGTTTACCTATCTATGAACATATACACGTGCGATACCTCGCTCAACTCTACAAGTCCGAATCTTCCCGGTCCCAACAGAAGCCTAGAACTCTGAGAAAATGAACTTACGAGTCAGACCCTACAACCTCTGGATGCTTTCAGAGGTTTAGAGTCTGGAGTTGATCCTTAAGCCCGAAAGCCCCAAACCTTCGACTCCAAACCCTCAAAGCCTAAGCCCGAGACTCTAAAACCTCCATCAAACACCAAACCTTCGACCAATAACCCTAAACAAGAACGACGCAGCAAACAGCTGCCTCTCCCGGAAATCCGCTGCGGCGGTCGAAAGCCAGAGGTCAAACCTCTTTTTGCTGTTGTTGTTTGAGGCTTCGGGGCTTTGCCGCCGAGCTTTCTGGCATTTAGGGGCTGGGACTGGGATGAACTGATAAGAAGCTTCAAAGGCAGAAGCTTTAGAATTGAAGGGCCATGGTGTAGTCTACGAGAGTCTTAGAGCCACCACCCGTGCCTTTGCAAAAGGAAGATGTACCTATTTTGGGGGGGTCGTATATAACATGTCTTTAACAGTCAATACACTGGCTATTCTAGGTAGCACTTATCGGTTTCAGGGTTGAGAATTTGAAGCTCGGACCCACCCAGAAAGCCATCTTCAACAAGGTTTAAGATTCCAATATTAGAGGTTAGGGGGTCGCGGGCTAAGGGCCTGGGACTCAGGGAGAGAAGATTTCAGGACTTGGATGTTGGAAGCTTCCAACCTGGCTAGCCCTAAGGTTTCAAGTATGGAATTTGGGCCCTAAGCTAAACCCCTAAACCCTAAACCGAGGAACTTAGAGGAAGCCTGCGCACTTCCACATCCATACGCGATGCTTCAAGTTGTGGAGACCAGGCGAAAATTGCCGAGGTCGGTTTTGCGAGGCTTTACTGCTCTGAAGCAATTAGCACGCTCTTGCCAAGATGCCTCGGAGGTGGAGAATGTGAGCCAGTCCCACAAAAGCATAAAACGCGCGACCCAAACCGGTTTGAGGTTTGACAAAGTTTCGATTTGGGATTGGAACTCATTCACACTCGCCGACAGAAGGCGAGGCTTCGCCACAAGCTCAACCCCAACGCAGTCAACCAACCATCTAAGCCCTAAGCCCTATTATTGAGAGAGTTAAATTCTCAGCAATCCATAGAAAGACCAGCAGCTTCTGGGCGACGCCGGCACCGACCGAAGAGGGTGCTGGTACTCCTGGCAGGTTCGGAACACTACAGATCCTTTCTGTACCGTAGGGTGGGACAATCAGGTAGCAGTTAGCCTCACCACTTTGCCGAATCTGAAGGCATTTTGGGTTAACAGCTTGAAAGCTTAGGGCCTGGAGACTGGCGTTCCGAGGTTTCCCTCCATATGTATGGCATCTGAGGGCCCGAACACACCTTCGAGAAACACCCCCATGCCCCGCTTTTCCTACAACCCCACCAGCCCTTTCGGCGGAACTTCAGCACTAGCGACGAGGAGAGTGTAGTGGTCGTGGCCGCGGCGATGTTGGCAACGACGTTGGGTTTTGATGGTGGTGATTTAGATGACGCTGCTGCTGATGATGATGAGGCCGAAGATGATGCTGATGATCTGATTGGTAACCGGGAAGAAAGTAAGATCCAAGCCGCATGGGATCAAGTTTGTTTGTACGCTACACCACAAAGGAAGCCGTGCCTGTATGTGCGAAAATAGTCACAAGCTTTGAGGCCTTCGTTGCATGGAGATCTCTCGGAAGCATAAGCCTTAATCCTATACCCGAACACCTCAAAATCCTCAACCCTAGTCTCTGCGAGGGAATTGCTAACCGCGAAATCCAGAGTCTTCTGGCCGGCACCGGGACCCGCACTCGGCCCCTGAGACCAGCAAGAAGCCACTTCCCCTGAATGCAGTACTCACACTACGCAGCATGAGCGACTATAGCCACCTTGATTTGGCAGAACTTTAGGGGCTTTTGTATGGGTCCACGTAGCCGAAGGTTTGCCTGACCTAGCAACATCTCCGTCTGCGGTTTGTGGAACAGCATCTTCGTGGTTCGAGTCTGGCTCCGGAATCAGGCCAGCACAGATCGGATCGGGCGGAAAGGTGATCAAACACAACAGCGAATGCAGTCAATAAAGCCGCGGAGTCAAATGGGCGGTTGTCGAGACTATGGTCTCTTTTTCGGTACCCGAAATATTATATGCTGTATCGTATTAAAAGGGCCATAATTTTCGCAACCACCCACATGGCTTTCAGCTAGGAGCGCACACGGTCTTGCATCTGCACCTGAACTTGCGTAACACAAACTTCACTGGCCAACCCCACTCCGGCATTCAGGACATGTTGCCTGGCAAAATCCCGCAACTCCACAGGTTCGCAGTGTACTGTTTAAAGGGAAGGGTGGACCACCTGTCGAAGGGTTACTGCCTATCACATGCATGGCTCCTGTAGTGTCATTGCCTGTCGTACGGAAACGATGAGGAGACACTCTGCATGCCTGTAGTGGTTTGGGGCCTGCCACGACCGGTTAGAATCCGGTTAGGACATCACCAGAAAGCAGGACAACTTCACTGTTTGTCTCGACTTGCATAGAGAGCTAGTAGGTCGAATTAGGACACATCGGTGGCTGTATCAAGCAACCGCCACTTGCACATATTCCCTGCTGAATAATGTGGAGACCGTGCTTACTGCATTACAATACAATCGCTGATGCCAACAACATCAGAACGACGACAACATGGACTGATAGACTCATGGGAGGTGCCCAGCATGCAAAAACAAAAAAACAATTCACTCCGATGCCTTGCTGGGGGGACGCGCATGGTGCGTGTCGACAGGCCTGTCCTGTCAGGCAAGAGGCTTGCATTTCGTGAACTTCGAGTGCATCGGATGCAACGTTCCCGATGCCCCACCCCGCCACCACCAGCAAAGCAACGCAAAGTATGCATCGCAAGGCCCCTTTTGAGGAGGGAGCTTTCGTGATGTGGGGGTTCTCGTCTGCGGCAAACACACACAGTTCTTCAGCTTGAACACTGGAACTTGCATCATGATGCAGTCCCGGTGGAGCAAGCGCAGGTCCTCTGCATGCTTGTCCAATCTTCTCCCGAGGTTCCGGGCCTTCCACGCTCTTTTTTGTGAAGGCTCCCAGCTATGAAACCTTTCAGACTTGCGGGGCCGAACCGAAGGCTTCGCAAATTCAGGCGTTTCCGGGTCCAACAGATCACGGCTTCATTCAAAGCCTCCAAAAGCCAAGTCTGCTCCCTCCCCGGCCTCCTTGCCCGACTCCCCCAGCTTCCCCTTGATGGTCGGGTCGGCTCGGCCTCCACCAGGTTCTGCTTCTAAGTCTACACATGCGCATGCGTGAAGCCTCGGCTCAACGGCGAATGCAAAGCCCGGCGTCCTGAAGCAGCGACTTCTGCTTCTGCGGACGTCTTCTGCGCGTCCCCCCGCCACTCACCCTCGCGCTTCTTGCAAACATCCTGGGCCAGTCGGGCACAGGGTCAAAGCACTTGACCTCCAGACACGACTGTCGCCATACTGTCGCCGAACCCTTACTGTAACAAGGAAGCCCCAGACTCGCGCTGGCCGAAAGCTGAGCCAGTCCACGGCGCGTGGAAGCACTCTAGCACTGCCAAGTAGCACTGCCAGAGCTACCGTACTGTGAGCACATACAAGTATAGTCCAACTTGAGGCACCTCGAACAAAGGACTCTCCATGCCGCGGAGCTTCGATCTTCCGCCAGGCCTCCTCCAGCTTTTGCCATCGAGCCTTCGATGCGTTCTCCAAAATCCGACCCATCGAACCCTTCGGGCTAGTTAGCGGCTAGTAGTAGCCCCAGGAATTACAGGCAAGGTCCTTGAAGAAATGTCGCGGGCCGGAGTTGTATTGCACAGCTTGCTGCATGTTGGAAGGCTTGGCTATGCTTGGCTTCTAATGGGCCCAGAAGGTTTGGAGCCTGCCAAAAGCTGTTGAAAACCTCGGCCCAAAGATCTGCCAATTTGGAACGTCCTGGGCTTCCTTGAACCTGACCGTTCCCGAAGTTCGATGAGGCAGCTGAAGGGCGCTGAGCTCTTGCAGGGCCCGCTCCCTTTCTTCCACGCTGCAGTGCTGCCGGCGGCCGCCTGGCGCTCAGATGGGGACTCGGGCGGCTGAGGACTTCGAGAACGCTGAGTGGCAAATGGATTCCTGACTGCTGTGCTTGGGGTGTCCATGGGGAGGGTTTCTGGACTCTCTGAGGCGGGTGTCCTTGCTTTGTCAGCAGCTGCTCGCGCTCATCTGCCACCTGGCACACCGAGAGAACAGTCAGGAACAAGCGATGAACGGGTGAATCATTCTCGGGCTTCGGGCAGAGTTTCTCAGTTAGGTTTGGCTTGCTTGAGCTTGGCCATTAGTAGACAAAAGGGCAAACTTCCGAGAACCCCAGCTCAGCCCCGCCCTGCCTGGCTTTGGCTGGGTTTCTGAAGGACCTCGGCTGCCTCCGCGACCTCCCTGCACGCAGCGGCCAAGTCTGCCAGCTTCCTGAGCGGGCTACGAGGTGAGAGCTTAGCCAGGACAGCACCTGTGAACCCTTGAGCTACTTCACCCCAGGCTCGAAGACCTCGAACGCAACCTCGCACAACTCAAAGGACAGCCTGGCGTCTGATCGCTTCGAGCCTCGCCCTCCTCGCGCTGTCGGCTCTCCTCGCGGGGGGCGGGGGAGGGGAAAGCGGGGATCTGATCCATGAAAAACTGGACCTGCACCCACGGGCCTCTCCTCTCGTCACTAAAGTCGGACTGGACATTTAGTACAGAAGGCTTTCGATGCGTCCTGGCACACCTCAAAATCCGAACATGCCAATGAGATCTTGAGATCCGAATTGAGGTTCTGATAGCCACTGCGGGCAGGACACAAATCCCATTCTAAACAAACTAGAACCTACTCTAAGACAGGTGATAAGCAAATATACGTCTATTCTTCTTTGGACCCAGGTTCCGGTACCTAGAACAAGCGAAGTATGGCTATACTGGTTAGCCGAAGAATAGCTATAGTGGCTAACCCAAATTATGCCTCTACTCTGCGCCATCGGCAGCCTGAAATGAAGGTGTGCAGACTCAACCAATCAACCCTTGGCATCAAACCTAAACGGTTAACGATAAAAAAAATTTGCCAGTACACCCTAAACCCGAAACGCCTTGTAAACCATAAACCTTAGTCTTTATACCCTTAGCCCCGAACCTTTACCCTAGTGCATTCCAGGTCACCTGTATGTTGGCAGCTGGGCGGGTCCCTGGAGCTGGGCGCTGCACCACCACACGGTCCTGTGCTTCCGGGTGTAGGGCTTGGGGCTTCGTGTTGAGGGTTTAGGGGTTCAAAGGAAATTGAGGGGTAGGGGTTTAGCGTACTTTAGGAGTATAGGGGTTTAGGGGATTTTAGGGTTTAGGGGGTTAGAGTTTAGCGGTTTTGGGTGCCTAGGGGCTCTTCCGGTGGTCTTCCACAAATTTCCAGTGTCGATGTATGGATCAGCTGTCGGCTTGACCCTGATTCTTAAACTCTTCTTCTTTAGCGGTAGCAGCCTTAGCATTCCGAGTAGAGTCGCTTTCAGGTGTAAAGGGCTCATTAATCAGGGGTCTACATTGATGAAATCGACGGATTCGTATTTCTTTTTCTATCTATCACGGATTACAGTCGCGATCTCCCAGTACTAAAGCTCTTAATGACACGGGACTCATACCCTAAACTGTTTCCTAAACCCTAAACTCTAGATGGGGTCTACTTACGATTGCAAGCATCTGATTCAGCCCTCGCCGCCTTCACGCCTATAGCCCCCCTCGCCTGAATCTTAAGCGGGGTTAAGGTTCAGGGCTTAGACTCTAGAGTCTAGCTTTGATTTCTGGTGGCGGACTTTAGACAGATCTTGCTGATTGCATTGATTCTGGTGGTGATGGGTTGGAGGTAACTGCCGGGGATGGAGTCCACAGTGATAGCATCTTCAGATCACAGCGCAGAGTCCCCTCAGAGTGCGTGAAAATACTCCTCGAGCCACTACCAAAGCTGCAGGCGTGAAGATTGACTGGAAGCGTCTCCTTAGAACCACACCTGACGCCTGCTTGGCTGAGAGAAACGGCAAAAGTATCTGCCGGCTTCCACACACCAAAACTCACCTGCTACATATCCTGAAGACACCACTGCAAATTACCAGGAGACCTTTCGAATCCTATCGCATGGTAAGTTTGCAATCCTGCACGAGCCCTGATCCTAAACCCTACCATCGAACTCAAAGCCTTGAACCTTCATCCCAAAACTTAAACTCGACACTCCCAAGCCCAAATCCTTGCACCCTCTACAAGACCCCTGCAGCCCAATCCAACCAAACCTATGGATATTTATTCTATATGACTCTCTCTCTATATATATATATACAGATATATGTAGATAAACAGATATGTATACATAGTTAAATATGTATATCTGAGCGTGTGCCTGTGCATTAAATACTGTCAACTTAAGAAGCCTCGACCGTACACCACAAGAGAAGCAAAAAGCCAAGATGCCAATACCACTTAGACCAAAAAACCCTGAACATCCTAGACTTCCGAAAGCCCTAAAAGCCTAACAGCCTGAAGACGATATAAGACTATCAAACCATGAAGAATCTGAAATGCCGGTCCTCGCTCGTGGGCACAGGCACCTCGACCTGCTGCTCCACATGTTGGTGGATCAGGTGCTGTGCATTCTCTCCGGGTGGCCTGGGATGCCTCCGCATCCGACTCACGGCCAGCGACCGTGGGAGACACTGCAAGGCGGCTCCTGCGCAGGAAAAATCTGCTTGTCCCACAATTCTGGGCTTTCTCCAGGGCCCGGGCTCAGGGGATGCATCTGCGTTGATCACGGGCGTGGCATCCATTCCTGCAGACCTGAAGAGGCGGGAGCTCCCGTGCTCTGCCGTGCACTGCCGTGCTCTGCCTGGGTGCCTGGCTCTTCCCCGGCCTCTTCGAGGCCCGGCGACCCCAAGGCACGCCTCGGAGCTTTCGCGAGTCTCGTCGCGATCTTGGCGAAGCTGCTCCGCTCCGGTGCTCGTGTTCTCTCTCTCATCGCTTGGCCGCACACATGGCGGCCAACGCGGCTGCAGCTGTGGCGCCGAGGCCCGGTGGGCTGTCCACCGCGCCAGGAAGCATCACCTCCGAGCATCAAGGCTGGCTCGTGAGCAGATGCGGATCTGCATGCTCCCATATGCTCCCCATGCTCAACAGCCTTCTGCGGCTCTAGCGCCTTCGAGGGCAGACCAATTTTGCGCTCGGCTCGGTTGCGGTGCTGCGGGGAGGCCTTAGAGCGAAGAACAGTGCGGGCATGAGGCATATCATGGCATGTCCATGATGAAACATGCCAGTCCGACCACGGGCCGCTCCTGGGCCTGTGGCCCGGCCTCGGAAGCTTCGCGGCTTCCTGCCTGCGGTTGATGAATCACCGATGGCCGTCAATAGCCATCCCCAACAGTCTGGACCGACGTTTCCCGCTGGCTACCTCGACGTGGAAATGGTGGGCGCGTTCCTGCTGAATCACCTTGGGCACATGGACCACCTGCTCCTGGCACACGATTTAGTAGGGCGGTTAGGGCAGCTACTAAGGAACGTGAGACAAGCCTTGTTTTGCTGCAGGTGTTGGGTGTAACCAGGATGTCCGTCACTGCCATGCCCCTTTTCAACAGGTTCTGCCACGAAGCTGACGACACAGGTAATACGGGAATCACGAGAATTACTAGAACGGGGACTATAACCACTACAGCATTTCGGGCTCCTGTGTTCCAAGGCGCTCGACACTGATTTCTTCTCGAGCGGTTCCACGTGATCAGTCGCGAAAGCACACTGCGAGCTACCGCAACTATTGGGGGTAGATAGTCAAAATTATTAAACCAGCACTGGGGCAACTTGTGACGTGAACTCTGCTGCAGGCTTACATTTCGCGAACCTCAAGCGTATCACCGTATCGAATGCAACATTCCCGGCAAACAAGATGGTGTGAGTTCACAAGAATCCTCCAGGACGTCCATGCGCTGCTGAGCAGGGGGCCCATAAAGGGTGCTGCGGCGAGCCTCCAACCTTCCAGGACGCAAGCTGATTATTTCTGGCCTTGGATACATGGACCCCTTTCGAAGGGAAGCTACAGTAGTGATGGGCGACTTTCAGCAATCACCGAGCAAGAGTCTGCATTAGCTGGCCGCAGGCAATTCGCTTTGGTTTGACATGTGCTGTGTCTCCCAAGGCGCTACGGGCGCATGTAACTCAGACTTCACGGAACCACCCGTCCCACCTTTCGGGTCTGATGAAGACGTCCTGGACGCACATGCCATTACAAGCATGATCCCTTCCCACTAACAATAAAGTCGCCCCTTAATATTCAAACGTCCCGACCCCGGGATTTTGCGGTTTCGGGGCCGGCCTTTAAACTAAAATACAAATATTCGGAACCTAGATTTGTATTGGTTTTAATGGATCCAAGAGTACAGTTGTACTAAACCAGACCAGGACTTTAGGGCTTCGGGTCGTAGTTAAGGCTTCAGGGCTTAGGGCTTCAGGGGCGTAGGGCTCAGGGCTTAAGGCTTTAGGGTTCAGGGCTTAGGCCTTTGGGGCCTCAGAGCTTAAAGCTTAGAGCTTTAGCGCTTAGGGCTGCGTGACTGCTGGCTATGACCTTAACTACTCAGCCATCTCCCTCTAATATGAAAACTCGGGCCCTGATTTGGAGTCTTAATATTAGGGGCGGGGTCCTCGTTGGGGGGAAGGGATTACATGAGCAGTGCCGCAGCAACATGGCCTCAAAGTTTTACAGATTGCGTGAGGTTTGCCCATGCAACTTGCTCACCAGCACCAGGTCCTCCACCACCTGCTCCTGACAAGCACACAGAAACGTACAGTAACCATCAGAATCTTGATGCGGCAGGCATACGAAGTCCGGAGCAAACGCTGGATGAAATCCTGCAGATAGTACACCTGAGCCTCCTCTATCAAAGGCCAGTGGCTCGACTGCAGTTTCGGGATACACTCGAGTGAGCTGCCAGCATGTGAAACAACAGTACTACAACACTTCTCAGCTGTACTCCTATGTTTGGTAACCCTGGCATGCAAAGAATTTTTGGGTTCTGGATTTTGGGTGTCATGAACCCTGCCCAGGACAGACTCTCCACAAAGCGTTGAATAGAAGCTTCATACTGCCACCCGATTCTGGAAAGCCTCCGAAGAGCCAGAATATTCGTCCAGGTAGGCATTTCCGGAATCCACAGCAGCCGTAAACTCTTAAACCCCAGATTCCCGAGATCGCCTCAACGAAGCCACAACACTGCACGGAGCCCATGGCGAGTGCGAGAATTAGGGCGTGAAACAAATGTCACAGGGTTCACCGGGGTGACAACAGCGGGCCTGTTCTCAGCCAACCATCAGCTACTCTGTCGCGTTTGGGTGTGTGTGTGTGTGTCAGCGTCTGCACATGGTGCATGTCGTGGCCGATGACCTAGCTCAAGACGTTGCTGCGGCGAAACCGTGGACGAATCGGAACCCCCGCACTCAATATTCGAGGGCATGGTTGGACCTTGCCGAACCCCGAGGAACCTTCACGACGTCATAAGGCCCGCTCAACGCAGAGACCAATCTTTAGGTTTGAGGGTTGTCTTTGGCCTCAGAACAAGCGTGACTGGCTTCGTGGCCTTCTGAATCTATGGCATTATCGGAGTTGGTATTGCATTCGCAAAGTCCATGTTCTTCGCTCTTGTAGTGTTTTGTCTTCGTGCCTCCAATCCAACCGAATAGTATCTGTTTCTGCACTTGCGAAGCACTCATTCCTGCCACATGCCCCAACCACATGAGAGACCCTGCCTACTGGTGTCTCAAACGGTTTCCATTGCACCATTCTGCGCATCGCCGCGTTCGTTAGCTCTTGTCTCTTCAAATCTTGGATTCCGGCATTGAAAACTCCCGACAGAACCTTGTAGACTAGATATTCTGCATTCCGTGTATCTGGTCGGTTTGCCAAGCCCGAGCTTCACACATAGAGTTTTCTTCGCATTCTCCCGATCCAGGTGGAGCCATTCCGGTGTGGTCTTCATCGCACCGACGCTCGTGGCACCGCGAAGCTTACTTAGAGACCTGTGCCCTAAACAACATACTGGGGGGGGGGGTGATAGAGGGAGCAAGACCTACTACATACCCTAAACTCTGAACCCTAAACCGTCTGTGGGATTTGGGGTTTAGATCCTGGTTGTAATGTATAGGACTCCTAGCTAGGAAGCGTTCGAGCGCTCGAGGCCCTAGGGTTCAGGATGAAGATGAGGTATAGGACACCTGGATTCGGGAAAACCTGCCGTTTCAAGGCTACTATGATGTCCATGCAACCTAAGCTCATATGTATATCTAAACGCATACACACTGTCTCTAGACTCTAGACTACACCAAGCAAGAAACACCTTGATTTAGACCATGATATCAGCACGGGATGTTGGAGGATGTTGCAGGGGGAGTCTACAGAAGTTGGTTTAGGCTCTAGGGTTTTGGGTTCGGGTTTAGGGTGTGGGGTTGTGTTACACCGGTTAACCCTAAACCCTCAACCGGTTCGGGGCTTTGGGTTACAACGTTGTGTGCTTAGGAGGGGCCCCGAGCGTCGCAAGCTTGCCAAACATGCTCGCATGTGCTGGCTGGCTCTTTTCGAACCATGCAAACATGGCTCTGAGTTCAGATCGACCTAGGCAACCCCGGCAAGCTGAGGATCCAACAGAGGACTGAGAAAATGCGACTCCGACGTGCCAGACCTTTTTGGAAAACCGACGTTCATCATGCAGAGTTACGATTTTCATTGACATGTATACATAAACCCACAGTAGCTAGTAAAGATACCCTACATGCCAAAGATACGATCATCAACATCATGTAAGCTGCCCAAGGTCAAGCCTAAAGGCATTTAGGTTGAGGCTTGCTGGGAGTTTAGGTTTAGGCTTTCGCTTGGCACTTAGGGTCAAGGGTTTAGGATTTACGAATGCGTTAGGGGTTTAGGGCTTAGGGTTTGTCAACGAGGTAGGTTTGATAAGGGCTAGCTTAGACGAAAGTAGATTGGCTTGGCTGTTTTAGATTGGTCATGGTCAGAGTAGGTTAGTTTGGACTCGGCTAGACTACGCTAGATCAGATAGATTATGTAGGCAGGGAGAGCAACAAGTGCAGATAGGTAGTTGGATGGAGAGGAAGCTATAGCGATAAGGCGAGATGCACAGATGCACAAAGAGACGGAGATGGCTACGGAGATAGATATGTCAGTACACGCAAACATACCGTGGACCCTGCATCAAGTAGGGTATACGAAAGTTGAAGACGGCAGGAAACGTCCAGCGACATGTCTGGCCTCTGTAACGCTGAAGATGCGAAACTCGCATAGGTGTAGGGTCAAGAGTTAAGGCTCGACCACATCGAGCATGCTTTAAATCCCCTGGAAACCTCAACCCGGAATCGGTGAACCCTAGGCCTAAAACATCGAGCTTTAAACTCTGGAACTAAAAACGCAAAATCCCACCAGACGACACGCTGTATAAACGGGATTACTTGTTCCCACTGTGCGGGAAAAGGGAAGGCAGTCGTACCACTAGAAAACCAGGAAATGTAGGAGCCTTATCAATTTTAATAAAGGTTGTCAGGTATAACCTAGTATAGCCGTATGTTGTATGATCAAAACACAAACCCTACACAGTACTGTAGATGTAACACAAGTGTACTAATTGTGCAAGCTTCTACATTTTTCATTGAGGCGAACTACGTAAGTGTCTGTGAAGCCATCACCAGGGACGGCTGACTCGACCCTGTCAGGAAGCCTGAACATAGGTGTGGGGGTTGGAAGATTTCGTCGCAATATTCTTTGATTTTGACGTAAGGCCTTCCTAAACCCCAAACCCAGGCGCAGAACAAACCTACTGAAGTATACCCAACACGCCTGTTTTCTAGCGATTAAGGTCCCTGCATTAGAGCTCCTTCAGTGTCATTTGCAAGCCGACCAGCCAATACAACCCCACGCCCTGTTTGAACCAGAAACCCGTTACCTTAATAAGTCTAGATCCTATAGATGCTAAACCCTAACCCTAATTTCTACCAAAATTGGGGGGCCTTAATATTCAGAATACAGGTATGGGTATAGTATGATAACAAGGAAGCCCACCCCAAAAAATCCATTATTGGTAATTGTTTTTTTGGCGTGGGCGGGCCTCGGTGACAGCGGCTGCTGCGCTCGGTCCCTACAAGAAAGCTAGGAATGCCAAGAATACCAAACAATGCAGAAGCTATACAAGGGTGAAACAGCAGCCGCGAAGTGCAGACTTAGTCGGCAGTAATCGTTCAGCTGGAAGGGGGGGTCCCTAAGCCTCTCAGTAGGCTCCGCTACCCGAAAAGCATGGGTCGCGCAATAGCCGCATGGAAAATCAAAACCCTCCATCGGCCCCGCTTCCCGTAAAGCTTGGGTCACGCAATGGCCAGTCGATCCCCAATCCACTCCGCAGGCTCCGCTTCCCGTAAGTTTTGGGTCGCGCAATAGCCGCATGGAAAAGAAGGGCCCCGAGGCTACTCAGGTGGCTTCGCTTCCCGTAAATCGTGGGTCGCGTAATAGCCGCATGAATAAATCACTGTCCTCCATCCGCCCCGCTTCCCGTAAATCCAGGGTCGCGCAATGCCAAAACGCAGCACACATGGGGTACGAATCAACCAATCCACACCTGGCGGCAGAAGGTTTTGCCGAGAGCCTTTGCGCTTGTAGGGGCTGGGTTCAGCATTTGGGTGACAAGACACTCGCAGTCAACGCTGAACGCGGCGGCCTGCCGGAAAAGCCATCCTTGTCACTTGCCCAGTCAACCTGCGCAACAAAGTGGGTGCGCTGACTGCCGTTCTCCAATATGAGCGAAGTCACCAGCGCGTCCCACCATGAATATATGCGAGTGTCAGCAGACGGCGCAGACACCCGGATGATCCACCAACTAACCGCACGCAAATGGATCGGCTTCCACAAGGCAAAGGGCATCACCGCCTGTGAGTCGAGGATCGCACAGTAGCCGCATGGAAAGGGAGGGTCCCCAAGCCATTCAGCGGACTCCGATTCACGCAAACCACGGATCGCGCAATAGCCGCATTCACAAAGTCGAGGAACTCCATTTTCCCCGCTTCCCGTAAAACCTGGGTCGCGCAATGGCTAGCTGCTATGTAGCACGCATGGGACGAGAATCCCCCACGGCACCAGGCGCACAAGCCGCGCAAGAAGGCACACGACACCTCAGGGCTTGGTGCTGGTTTAGGGAACCGCAACCTGTTTGCGAAACACCCACGTTTCGTCAGCGCCGTCCCATGGTCATTCCACGGAGGATGCACAATGAGAGCTAAGCTCACCCCTGGCACCTAGAATTGCCACTGATGTAGGCGGGACACCAGGTTGCCATACCATGAATGACGGCGAACCTCAGCAGATGGAGCCGCTGTCTAGAAGCTGATCCACTATGTCACTATGTGAGTGGCCCACCACTACCTCGCCAGGGCCGTAGTGCCGCAACTCCATAGGCGGATCAGCCTCCAAAACGGACGCAAGGGGCATCACCTCTTGTGCGCAAAAGGCTTGTCAGACGGGCCTCATCACACATAGAGGGCCGCTGAAGAGATCTCACGCGAGCAGTGCGCAAAAACCAAGAGTCCAGCTCCCAGGTCTGTAGCTCAGGCTCTTTAGGCACCCGCCGTGAAGTTTCAGAGCCTAGTTCAACGTTTGCCGCAAAGGTATGGGTCGCGCAATAGCCGCGTGGAAGAGAAGGGCCCCGAAGCTACTCAGTTAGCCCCAAATGCCCCGCTACCCGCAAAACCTGGGTCACGCAATGGCCAGCCGATATGTAGCACGCCTGGGACGAGAATCCCTCATGGCACCTGGCGCACAAGCCGCGCAAGAATGCACACAGCACATCATGGCTTGGCGCGGACGTGAGGCTAACCTCCAAGACGAATGCAAGGCGTATCGCCGGACATCCAGGCACGGAGAACCGCCACATGTTCGCGGAACACCCACGATTCGTCAGCACCGTCCCATGGTCCTCCCACAAAACCACAAAAGAGGCACAAAGGAGAGGGCAGAGCCCCCACCTGGCACCGAGAATTGCCATCGATGTGGGTGGGGCACCAGGTGCCACACCATGAAGAAAGTCGAACGTCAGCAGATGGAGCCGCTGTCTATAGGCTGATCCACCAAGTGAATGGCCCACCACGATCACGTCAGGGCCGTAGCGCCGCAACACCACGGGCGGATCAGCCTCCAAGACGAACGTAAGGGGCATCACCTTTTGTTTTCAAAGGCTCTTCAGACGGGCCTCATCACCTATAGAGGCCTGCGAAAGTTCTCCATTTGGGAGTCATTCAGTGCGTACAGGAATCTCCAATCCCTGCACTAGGCGGCTGCGGAGCTGCTGTTCGGTGAAGTAGCTGGGCAGCCTGGTACTGCGCCAAAAGTGTGTATCCCAAGAAGGGATACTGCTGCAAGCCATTCGCGAGACCGCCCTGAGCCATGAAATTCCCCGCCGCCCGGCGCCAAGCCTCAAAAGTGGAATTGGAGCCAAGAACATAAGGAGGATATTGCGTGGCCTGCTCCCGCCTGAAATTCGCAAAGTCCCGCCGGAGTATTTCGGCATGACGATGGCGCGGTTCAAAGGCGCCTAATAGGTGCAGATGTTCCGGGAACCATAGCGGTATGTCTCGCGGTCCTGGGAGCCACACTGACAAAGCAGCACGAATATCGTACCCGTCAAGTTGACTCCACTGGTGGACTCTCTCAAGCGCACTGGCCAGCAGGCCAGCAGGCCAGCAGGCTGCAGCGCAGGCTGGACTGTCACATGTAGGCCAAGGGACATTGGCGAGAGTGGTAGAAAGATGCGGAGCCGACCTTTATACAAGGGCGGGTGCTTTTTGCTATGCTCGGAAAAATCCAAAATCTCCCATCGTATACTCAAGTGCCCTTACAAGAGTAAGTCAGAAACATATGACCAAAGGCAAAAGCAATATATATGAAATCATTCCAATCATAATCTTGCATCACTCGCTCAAGCTTCTCTTTTTCGCTCGGGGCGAACCGGGCTGCCCGATCCTAGGCGTCGGGCTAGGCGAACTCCTCACGTTTGCGAGGAGTGCTGCTACAACTCGGGAGTTTGAAGTTGCGAGAGCTCGCGACTGCAGTCGCGTACTCGACCGAGGCTTCAGGTCACTGCAAGTGAGCTGAAAACTGACATTCTCCTTAGGAGCGCAAGTTGTTGTGCCAATGCCAAAGGCCACCTGTCTCGACAGGGTGTGGAGGGTGGGTGTCGAGACGGTCTCAGCGGTCCCGCCCCCCCACCACTTGAAATGCAATGTCACGGGTTGACAAAAGCATTCGCAAGAAAGCTTGAAGCAAAAACTTGTCTCACTAAAAACTTCATGCTTAGGGTGAGGTGAAGCACACGGGCTAAGGATTAGGGTATTTTGGATTTTTGCAAGCTCGTCCACATGGGACTCGCCTCGCGCGCAAAAATGGGTTGGTAGACAAGTCTACAACTGTACTTTTTGCTATGCTCGGAAAAATCCAAAATCTCCCATCGTATACTCAAGTGTCCTTACAAGAGTAAGTCAGAAACATATGACCAAAGGCAAAAGCAATATATATGAAATCATTCCAATCATAATCTTGCATCACTCGCTCAAGCTTCTCTTTTTCGCTCGGGGCGAACCGGGCTGCCCGATCCCCCCAAGCGAAGTAGCACGGGAGCCACAGCCACATCACAGGTTCAAGAGTTTTGTCCCAGTCAGCGGACAGTCGCAATCCACGCGAGATGCACCTGAGGCAGCAAGTTTCTCAAGCTCCCCCCTCGAAGGGTCATCCGCTGGATTCGAAGCTGACGGTACGCGTGCCCACCAGGCCCACGTGTGAGCGTGTTGCTCCAAGGACTCCCAAGCCAGTAAAATGTCTCTCAGCTGTTTGCTGGTAGACGTTCCTTTAATGTAGCTGAGCATCACAGCATCGTTATCGATGAAGAAAATGCAATAGCGACCCGAGAGCGATTGATGAAAGACCTTTCGCGCTGTCAACACAGCATAGGCCTCGACCGGACCAATGATGTGTTTCATGTCTTGCAACCAAAGCGCTGCAACGGCTGCGCTGACATGACAGGCGAAGTACTTGGGCTCAGAGACCCAAAGGATCGAAAAGAATGCCTCCAACGGTACGCGCGCTACCTTCACTGGCACCGTCGGTGAAGACAAGCACAGGTTTCGGAGGCATGGTACAAGGCACAACCCTAGGAGCCCCAAAAGACAACCGGCTAACAAGAAAATCGAAAGCCTTGACCTCCTGCGGACCAAGGCGGAATCTGTCAGCATGTCGGGCGGACGCTGCACGCAGCTCCGCCAAAGCAAGCTTGCCGGTACGTCCCATAATTTGCGAATCCGAAAGCTGTATGCGTCCTGCCACTCGGGCAAAATCGCGATGTCGGATGACACCTTCACGAATGCAATGTTGAATGACCTCACACACTTCACTGGCACGGCCCTCCTTGTTGCGCACACGCAAAATGGAATCCTGCGCATCGCTGCAGTCGAGTTCGACACCTAACATGGACGCCGTCGGGGCGAAAGGCGCCAACTTCTCCAACGAGACATCAAAACCAAGGAGCCGTGAGAGAAGCATCATCGTGGTCATCGTGGACTCACGCAACAGGGAAGGAGTCATCACAGGGTAATCGTCATAGAAATTTGCCCAAGGCAAATGAAGCTCGATGCCTATCCTCCAGAACAGTCGTGACAGGCGGTTGAAATGCACGACTGATGCGGTGCTGCCAAACGGTAAAGCCTTGGACTCGAAGAGTCCAACATCGCGCGAGAGAGGAAACTGCCGATAGGCGTTCTTCAAATCGAACGTAGTGAGCAAAGGCTCCCAGCCGCCATCACGCCACATGGGATGAACTCGGCCAACAAGTGGAGGCCCGTCTGGCATATCTATAAAGAATTGATGATCGGACGTGCATGCCCCAATCCAACACCGACAAATCGCAATGAGTTCATCAAGAGCCCTCAAGTCGCTTTTGTCCGCATAGGAGAAAGACCCGTTGACAAGGATTTTCCTTCTCTCGCAGCGCTCAGTCTTGAGTAGAACGCCTTCCACAAAACTCCAGAACCGTATATTGCATAAAGATTCGTGAAACAGTATCCGGGCTCAATATAAAGAATGCCCGAGAATATAATAAGTATTGGAGCCAGTTATCAAAAATGCTCCCGAATATATTCGCACAACTGAAGTCGCGATCTCTTTTCTTCCGAGCACTCGAAAGGGGCTGTTCGAAAAGGGTTTTCGCACCGACAACTTCGGTGCATAACACGTGTGGTAGAGTTTCCACAAAGCGGTTTGCGGTAAGAGAATCCGCTATGTGTCAGCACCCGATTGCCCCCATAACAAGTGCTGCCATGGAATGCATCCAGGGAACGTCTCTGCACTGACCAGGCCCAACGCTCTGGCCACATCATCGCCCTTGCCCCTTGAAGGTCCGTCGGCGATGTTCGACTTCGACGGTACTCGAGCGTACCACGCGTAGGAGATCATGTTGTCTTCAAGCCTACACAGCTCGCGAAGCATGCGATCCATAATGCAAGATCTGCTCACGCCCTTCACAAGGGCTAGACGTGCAGGCTCATTGTCTATCCAATAGACGACTCGCCTGCCCTCCAGCCGTTCCCGGAAAACAAGCTTTGCACAGAAAATCGCATATAACTCGACCTGGCAGATCAAGTGTTCGCTGGCCTCGTTTCGCCATGCGTTCCTGAGCTCAGGCGGGAGCTCACCTTGCAACACACGCGTGAAGCCGTCGGCCGAATCAATCATCACGGCCCCTATGCCAGCGAAGTCGCCTTCAAGAGACCCATCCGTGAAGATGTGAACCACCTCCTTTCGATCTGACACCTTCACCTCCCTTGGACGGGCACTGCCAAGAAAATCCAAAGCCCGATCACAAAGCTTTGCAAACTCCTCGGGAGAGGGAAAAGCTTCACCATGGACTATCCTATTCAAGTCAGCGCAAATGTGATTTAGCGACATGCCCACACATGAGCCTGCCGCAAAACGCAAAAGTCCAAGCAACACCTGGCCAAAATGCTTTGTCATCGATCCCTCGGCTTTGACCTTGCCAAACAACTCCACGAGCCGCTCTATTCTTCCCGGTTTGTTTGAAATCGAGAGCTTCCCCAAGTGAAGATGTTCCACTGACATTTTGAGTCCCAGAACACTGCATGATGCATCGAAGGGCAAACCTTTGGATCCAGTCCCCGTCTCGGCATATCGGATGCCAAGCAGACTCAGCATGCGGCCGCACGCCTCATCAGTTGCCTCTGCCATGTCGGAGCGGGATAACATCGGGTAGTCATCATAGAAGTACGAGCACACCACGTTCAAGACTTTGGTGAACAAGAAATGTATGGCCCGACTTATACGGTTAAAGCTAAAAACGCTGGCAGCGGCACCAAACATTAAGGCGTTCGCCACATACCAGGTTGGCTTTCCTTTTTCGTCGAAAATGACTATAACCGAAAGGCACCTATCCCGCTCGCTTACACAAAATTGTTTGTAAGCCTTCGACAAGTCTAGGCATTTGACCTTCCATGGAACATGCACACCCAGGTCCTTTTGCATCTTTGCAACAGCCAGTGCCATGGCCGTAAAGTACGCACTATCCTGGAGCCTCAAGCGGATGGCCGACCATAAGCATCGTTGAGGTGGGCCTCGTGGCCGTCATCAATGGGACGCTTCTTATCGGACTGCTGAAGGAGAAATCTCCTCACAGCCACCCAATCTTGGGTTCCGAGGTGGTCTGACACTGCATCCTCGGACTCGAACGGTCCCGAGAGGAAACCTTCAGCCGTCTCTTCATCTGAGACCTTCCGAAGTTCAGCCGCCTCGTCCGCTGAGACTTTCCTGGGATTTGCAAGGATGGCTTTCCTCAAGTCCTGGGCTGCAGCTCTTAAGGCCTCGGGAGAGAGCTTTGCCAGCCTAACGCGTGTTTCAAAGCATTCGGGCTTCGGAGCGGACCCCACTAGATGTGACCCGTCGCTAACGAGGTCCACGACCCCCATGTCATCAAAACCGTGCTGCGACAACAGGTCGCGCAGCAACAGAATGCGCTTTCCTTTGAGGACTTTTTGCATCCAAGGTGGCTTTGACTGATGCAGTGCTCTCTCCTGCGACTCAAGTTGCTTGGCCCGGATCTCCATCTTAGTCAGGGCAATCTTTTGCTTAAGCTTAAGCACCTTAGCCTCCGAAGTAAGATTTTCCTTGATGGCCATCATGGTGGCTTCGGCCAGAGGGTTATTCGAGTCCATCGGATGCGGCAGCTTAAGGGCCTCCTTTACCCACACTTCGGGACTACGATAAACCCCAACGGTAACCATCCCCTGCCCCGCACCAGGCTCGGGTCCTGCGTGCCGCGGGGTTTCACACAAGGGGTTGGGGACTAAACCCGAAGAGGCAGGCGAGGGGACAGGGTTTCCCTCTGGGGGCCCAGGGTGCTCGAAAATGGACGAAGGCTCATGGTCAGAGGGTTTCGGCAGGCCCCCCGTCTTCACCCCAATCATTGGGGCCGTGAGAACCTTCATGCAAGAGTCGTCGACGGCCGACTTGGGCACATGCTTTATGGCGGCAAACTCGGAGATGAGAGGCTGACTCTTGCGATGCTGCACGCCCTGGGCGGCGTAAGCAGCATGTTGCACGTCCAGCGGCCGTGGGCAAAAGGAGAGGCCAGAGGCCTGAGCTTGGGCGCTGAAGCGTGCAGCCAAGGCTTCAGCAAGCTGGACGGGATAGGAAGCCTCGAGGTGAGTGGCGAAAACCCAGCCATGGGGCCCGCGCTGAGCCCCCCAAGGGGCGTGATCATGAGAGCGATCGCAACGGGCACACAAGTCGGCCATCTGCTTGCAATTGGTGAGCAACCGCGTAGTTTTCGGCCGAGCCCCGCCATACATGCAGTGATCAAACTCCACCTGAAAGGTTCTGTGGCTGAAGCGATGCCAGGCAGCTTTAGGGCGGGCACGAGCCAGCGAAGCAAAAACGGCCCAAAAGTGACTGTTGGCGGGATTCTCAAGCGTGAAAGGCACAGCATTCTCAAGCGCCCAGCAGACCAAGTTGAAAGTGAAGAGGTAGAGCAGGTTTGCCTGCCGCACGCGGTGGTATTGAGATGAGGCTTTGTCAAGGCTTGGCAAACCCAAGGGATACCGAGCAGATCGCAAGGGCTTGGGCTCTCGAACGCCCTGTTTCAGCAGCGCTGACGGCAGGGGGCGCTCACGGGCTCGGCTGGCGGTACCGCAAGGCGGGGCTATATGCACTGCATCAGGAGGGGTTGCTCGAAGACGATCCATAAGCAGATCTTGCTGGGCCTCTTGAGCGAGATCCAAGCGCACTGTTGGCATAAGAGCGGCGCGAGGCCGGTGATCGACGGCCAGAGTTGCAAAGCCAGCGGCGAAGAGGGCCCGAGACAAAACAGCGGTGCCGCTGAAGACCTCCACCGCAAAAGGCTGGCGGCTCAGCTTGTGGATAGAATGCTGACACGCGGCAAAGCCCAAGCTGGAAGCGAAGTCAGCATCAGCGGTCGACAATTTGTCGATGAAATTTGTTGTGTACGCAACTAAGACTACACGGCGGCCAGACCATGGTAAGGTCGCATGTAGGGCCGATCTGGCTGAGAAGACAGCAGGGCCCGGGATCGTTGGCAAAGCAACTCCCAGAAGCCTCTTGCCATTCACCTCCAGGGGCGTGAGGCCCTGAGCATTCTGGACCCAGACTTCGCCGCCTGAGTAATCAGACAGCCCGAAAACAGCATTGCGAGCCGACTCTAGGTTATGAGTGTCGCGGTGCGCGACAGTGCAAACGTTGTCAAGGATGACTATGGCAGAAAAGGAGTGGCTGGGGCACTCCTGCAACACAAAACGAGTAAAAACTTTAGTGCTTAAAGGGAAAAGGCGGCAGTTGTTTCGCAATCCCACAAGGTTTCCATGCACCCAGGTGCCGGTGCCGAAGGAAAAACCTCCAGCTTCTGCACGCCCAGCAGTAGGCGCATCCTCGTGAGGGAGCAAGTCAAAAAGCTTCAGCAAATCTACACGACTGGCCGAAGAAAGTTCCAAAAGGGATGTTGCAAAGATTTCGGCAGGGTGCAAAGGAGGGCCCCTTGGCTCTGCAAGCACATTTGCCTGGCACTGCGACGACTGGGAATCCACAGGGTGCGCCGCGGTCCCTGCGGGCTTTCACTGATTCGGGCGAGCCTTTGTGCACTCGTGCCCCGGGTGGGCACCACCACAGCCTTTCCACCAACACAGGTGAAAGCCTCGCCCGCACCTGCCTTTCTTGGACACCTTGAACTTGCAGGAGCCGCAGTTAAAGGCGAAACACACAGGTTTGTCATTCACCTTAGTGACTGCTCCCTCAGGCACGGTAATGGAAGCAGCAGTTCCACGATCCTTGCCTTTCTTGCCTTTGCCTTTGCCTCGGCCTTTGGGGGTGTCACCTTTCTCGGAGCGCTTGAGAGGATTGGACGGCAAGCTCTGGGCAGGCAGGTGATTCAGAAACTGCAACACATCACTGTGATCGCTGAGGAGCTTAAGCTGTTCATCAAGCGGTTTGACGCGGCCCGGGGCGGCAGCAAGGGCTCCTAGCAGATTGGAGGCGGCCAGGGTGAACAAGTGACGATCGGCTGCCACGATTTGAGTCAACGCCACTCCGTGGTAGCCAGGAGGGGAAGGCCGCTCAAGTGTCACAAAAAGCTTATGCACCCAAGCCTCCATGGCCTGATATGTCGCGAGGCCCGCAAGATCAAAGGCGAGGCTCCTTCTCGCCCAAGCCTGGCGAAGGGTCCACTCGGAACCCGTGTCACAATGTTCGAACTTGTCAAGCTTGGAAGTGACCTTAAGGTTTCCATCTGAATC